TCGAAGCGTAATAATGGCTATGTGCCGCGACTTCTGCCCTCGTCCCCAATTGCACGCTGCGTATTTCGCAAGGCCTCGTATTAGCCATTTTTAATGACCACTGCGTGTCAAAATGGCAGATCGTAAAGTTGTCGTTAGAATTGGATAAATAAAATTCCTCCGTTTTATCGAATGGTTAAGGTTAAGACTGACGTCGTTAAAAACCCCGTAATTGTTAAAATATTATTAAAATATCGTATATTACCGATTTCTTTTTTTTTTTTTTGTAAAATAGGTGCACAGCGAGGCGCTCTTTTGGTTCGCCGGTTCTAATTTGATATTAATTATTTCCGGGGGAAATTAATAACGCCGGCCATTAAAACAGGATGAACGAATAACGAGGGACAAGAGGGGGTAGCTCGACAACGTGCCGCGACCGAGATTGAAATTGAGTTTCTAGGATGAAATTAATTATTTCCAGCGAAAGGGTATTCGATGTAGGGTGCGAATAGCGCGCCTCGACGTCCTGCTAACAAGACACCGGAGAGCATTTGACAAGGATCTCGCAAGAGAATTTAACCCACCGATACAAGATGACCCCGAGTTGTTGGTTTACTTTCGAGATATTAATCTACGAGCAGCGTTACACGGCGACGGTCGTGGCCGGCCATTTTATTCTTTCACTGGCATTGCGCAAACCAGCGGCAAGAATTTACTTTCCGTGCAGGATAATAAAAAAAGAAATGTATACACATTCGAGTCTGCAATTATAGGAGCCGGATTGCAACGAGCCCGTGCATTACGTTTCAATTCGTCACGTCGGTGAATATAAAATATATTATACACGGATCGGTTTCCTGCGCGTAATTATATACACACACGCAAACGTGGCAACCTATCATCCTTGTCATCGGCCAGATTTAAAAATGAATATTCAGAATTATTACAGAAGAACAAAGGGGAAGCTGCGCGGCGTCCTTGCTTGCGACATCGCTTCCTGGCAGGCCCACTCGTTGAAATCTCTCCGAAAATTTCCCAGCGCGGCCCAACGCGAGATTTCCGTGCAGGATAATAAAAAAAAATATATGTATATTCGAGTCTGCAGTCCTTGCAGCCGGGTTGCAATGAGATCGTGCATTACGTTTCACTTCGTCGCGTCTGTGAAGATAAAATGTATTATACACCGATCGGTTTTCCTGCGCATAATTATATGCACACGCAAATGTGGCAACTTATCATCCTTGTCATCGGACAGATTTTAAAATGAATATTCAGAATTTTTTTAGAAGAACAAAGGGGAAGCTGCGCGGCGTACTTGATTGCGACATCGCTTGTTGGCGGGCCCACTCGTTGAAATCTCCCCGAAAATTTCCCAGCGCGGTCTAACGCGAGATTTCCAAGGAGATCTCCATGTTTGGCCGGCATCCGACGATAGTTTCGACGGTTCTCGATCCTCAAGTGGTTCCCCGACCATCGGAGATGATCCGTGACGAATGTACACGCAATGGAGCCGACTTCTTTAAATGATCTTGCGTCCGCCCGCTTGCGGCTAGGCTACCTTTCAAAATCACCATCCCGAAGGAGAGGCGCCGATCTTCCGCAAGCGATCCGTACGCGGGATACTTTGTAGCCGCGACCGTGTAATTTATTGGTTGCGTAAACCGCCGAGTGTACGGAATTTTTTTTTTTAGCGGTTCCTTGCCTCGGCATTATCATTACCGCACGTAGCGTTATGCTCGAGCGCGGTGGTCACGAGTACGGGAAATCGCGTTAACGCACCTCGGATGCTTTATGCTTTATGCCGATCTTTACGAGGGAATTGCACCGCGACACCGGAAAATCCTCGGAAACTCTCCTTGCCGGCTACCAGAAGACCCATCCCGGAGGCTGAGAAAGTCCGATAATGAGCAAGGATCTTCGACGCCATGGCGACTTCTTATAAGAAACTTGTCCCCCACAAAATGAAGAACTAACAAGAATTGTAAGAGTAAAAAAATTCATAAACATCGTCTTCAAATTTTTGCCAGTTCTCTAATTCATTACAATTCATTATCAGTGCTAGAAGTGACAACTGATATGGAAAGTCATGCCGACACCTCATCATGGCGGAAACTGGAAAAACGAGGAATAAAAAATAGATAAATGGTTGCATATAATTTTTAGCTGTTTCAGCGAGTTAATTATCGCTGATTATCAGTGCAGTTTATGTGGGACGGCACTCCCAAGACGTACATACTGACGTTTATGCCTCGATTCCTTTACTTATGCATGCGTCTCCGATGCTTTATGCCGATCGTTAGGAGCGAATTACAGCGTGACACCTGACATGGCTGCGGAAGGTCGGGGAACATGCCTGCGAGCTACTGCCTTCTATCTGGGTATATATATAGAGAAAGCCGGACGTGGATATCGGAGTTGTACGATTTTGGGGGCATTGTCATTGAAATTCCCCTCCCCGGCACGAGGGACGAGAGGAAGGAAGGGACCGCTACAATTTCCGCCGGGGACGAGGAATGGGACCCCGACCCCTCGTAATCCGGAGCTCTGAAAGCCTCGTTTAATATTTATGATTTATTTCGGTTTAATTCGACGCGCAAACGAGACCTCCGGATTCGGGAGCTCTCCCGGGGCGGATTTGCCAGCCAAGGATCAACGGCCGCCATCTTGGTTTCCATTGCAATCGATGATCGCCGATGCCTCTAAATACGTATATCGTCTCTTTACTCCTGGTTCCAATGTCTAAAATTTACAGAATCCGTCTCTTGACGATGAGAATTACGGTAGGAGGTTTCATCCGATCAATAGTTAGATGGTGAATAATTAATTATTCCGGGATAACTCGAAGGACATTTCGCCCTGACGAAAATCATCAGCTCGAGGGTAATGATCCTGCCGGGGAAAATGGACTTTCGGAAGGACCTTTACCCCGGGAATTACCTAGGAAAAGGGAGAAACCCGGTCCATCTGTCAGTGTCTGACCACGTACACGCCTACATCCAATTCTGACGTCTTCGTCCACCCTTAAAGATCAGACTTGGTCAGACCTTTAATAGCGATATACCCCCTGAATACCGTATTCACCTTGTATTCCTTTTTATTCAGTTTAACTCGCTTAAACCGGGAAAAAAAAATCAATTGTCGCCAGCGTGTCGTAGCACTAAACCGATTGTACAGGAGCTCTTGTGCTCTTACGGTTTCCATCGCTTTTCCAGTCTATTGGCTCCGATAAAGCGATCGGATAAAGGCGTTTGCGATCACGCGACAATCACCCCGTATCGGAAATCCTTGAAGTACATCCTGAAGTACTTTACCTCGTCCTCGTAATTTTTCATCATAGAGTAGTTGATTATCGACGTGTAAAAATATGTATTCCATATATGCCGGAGAAAGGCCAAGGTAAAAGTGTTCATTGTCGTGTCTCCAGGGTTCTCATTGTCGCATTCTCCTGGTCAATTACTCTTGTCAACCCGACAGGTGTCAATTATTCTCGTAAACCTCGGAATGCCACCGCATAATCGCGATTTCGTGGCACAAGTTCGCAACATTCGGTTACTTCTCGTTACTTCAGAATGCTGGGTCACCGGCACGGGGCTATTGTTGGCGCAACAATAGCCCAGGAACATGGGGCCGAGTTGCCTCGCGCATTAACTCGCGTAATTGAGATTTATTAATACGCAGTTAGCTTCGTGGCTACCCCGCGTGCCTAGCTCTTTTCTTTCCCCCTGAAGAAAGGCAGGACTTTATTAAGGGGTGAACTTCCAGCCGGATACGCATTATATGCACGGACATATATCTTCCGAGACGTGCACCCCTCTCTATAAACCGGAGAAAATATTCCTACCTCATTTACCCTCCATCAGCTGTACACTAACTATCGCCAATATGTACCGAATGCCACCCTTCGCCCCCGAAAATCCTTCCCCCCATAAATAGTAATTATCCCAAATCACGGCTACACAAATTATTGCGTCGTAATTAACGCTACACAAAAGGCGTCGTAATTAAATTGCTTCGTCATTTCGGAGGGTCGAACATTTCCAGGGGAGGAAGATTACAAGAAATATAAAGGACCGGATCCCGGAAATAAACATTTTAGGATCGCTGACAATCGCCAGTCCTGACGTCGGAAGGGTTAAAACGAGGTGAATCCTCGTGACGTAGAGTCGCCATAAAGTCGACGTAAAGTCGTCGTCAGGGGTGAGAATCCTGGCGAAAATCGAGCTCCTCGCCGAAGAAATTAAGGTCCCGGGCCAGCGCTTAATAACCCATCCGTCATTAGCCCGTTTAATAAAAGCCACACCCGTAAGTCAGGAGGAAGCGACTCGAAGAAAGCTCCGGGGCGCTTAATCCACCGAAGCTGCGATATGAAACCTCCTGCGGCTTACCTCGTCGCAACTTACCCTCCTGTAACCACATTACCCCCGGCCTAGCCGGCCCTCCCCTCGTTTATTTTCCCCGGCACCCCCCACGCATGATGTACGAGCTAGGACGACGTTGTCTTCGACCCCGTGTCCATAAGAACCATCCCTTGGCACCCCCTGGCTCCCACCTTAAAGACAACCTCAGACAGGGACGTTCAACCTATCCGCAACGTCTAAATTAATTCCTTGCCTTTTTATTTTATTAATGTAAAGTCATCAATTACGCCGATATTTCTCTTCCTACTTACCAAGGCCTCCCCTAAGTGTTCCTGATTTTGTTTATAAGAAATTGGTGCAAAGACCCTTAACCTCCAATTTTTATATTTTTCCCATAAGTCATTGTCGAGTTTCTGCCCGGAGAAAAAAATATCACTGAATCAAAGAAATATTCTATTTCTATTAAGAAAATATTTCTTCGGTTCAATGGACTTTTTTTTCAGGGTGCAATGATTTTCGTCTTCCCACCTTTCATTACTTTTCTTGGGGAAAACTCGATGCGACGATTTCTCTGTTCCCATTTCGTGGGTTAGCTTTGAAGTTTAATTGTTCTTGGCAGATAATTTTATACGTATCTATTTTTTTCAGAGGGATGGCGAGATTCGGTGTTGGGGGCGCCACGGCGACTCCTGGTGACTCTCGGCAGCCTCTCCAGAGACTCCTCGCCGTCCACCCTGGCGGTAAGTTCTACTCGGCGAGATCCCCAGGGAACGGGCGTGACGAAACGCAATTTCTGGCCCATCTCGAAGGGGTGACGTCACGTCGCCTGCAGGCACTGCCATTACCGACGGGGATATGAAATGCGCGAGCAGAGGGCGCTTCCGGGCCAGTTTCGCTCGAGGGCAGAATATGCAAATCGCACGCCCTGTTGCCATTTTGAAATCCAAGGGGGTTGATCTTATCCGCTCTCCGAAATCGCTCGATAAGGGCGATAAGAAAATTTTAAATAAGTATTTCAGGACGCATGCGTTCTTACGTTCCTACTTATCCGCGTTTGTAGGGACACATAGAGAAGCAAAGTAAAAAAAGTAATAAATCTGCATATATCCTGAACTAGTCCTTGGAAATCTAATTTGAAGAAATTTTGCTGGGAATATTTATTGGGATAATATTTTTAACGGGTTCATTAGTATTATTCATTTCAAGATTGCAATCAGGCAATGAACTTGTCTTCTTTTTTTTTTATGGAATATATAAAAGTCGATTGGTCTCTGTGCATTCGAGATGTGAGAAAGTGGACGCGAAATCGCAAGCCGGGGGTGGAATAGATAACGAGGGTGGGGGAGGAAGCCCCCAGGAACTCGAAGGAAAGTTTTAGCGGGCTACCGGCTTCTCGGCGAGTTTGAATCCCTGGAAATCCGAGGGCTTTCCTGGAGCTTCCGGGATGGTTTTGCCGAGTTACAGGCACATCGAAATAGGCACACGCAGGGGGCCCCATGAACGCCCCCAAAATCTACAGGGAAAGATTCGCGGAGCGATTCACCCCCACCTGGGAAAAGTGGTGGAGAAATTGCAGACAGCCATAAGAAAATTACTTTCTTCAGGAGAGACTCCATCCAGGGGAGCAAAGGCACTCCGGGGTGTCACTTCCGATATTGGTTTTATATTGGATTTTGCAAGGTCAAAGGGAAATCCTCGTCGGAAGGAGTACAAAAAACGAGAGAAAAGAGGGACGAGGGATCGATTAATTTCGCCATCGATTAATTTAAGCTCCTTCAAGGGGGGAGGCGAATCCCCCCAGGGGGCTCGTATGTACAAGAAATACGAGAAGACGCGGAGCAATCAACCCCGTGCCCATAACCCATAACTCTCACGGCGCGAGAACGTCTTCCAGGGGAAATTTGCGAGCTCCTGGGAAAGTGGGAAAAATTCTGGAGGTGAGGAATAAAATGAAAAAGGGAGGGACCTGCAGGTATCGATTGGCGTGAGGGTGCCACACCCGTCGATTAATTTGAGCTCATTCATGGCGAATCCATCAGCTGGTGTCCAGACTGCAAGAGAGGGTGGTAACGTGCCGATAATTTCTTTTTACCCGGGGCGTCGATTATCGAGGATTATCGGTTAGTATTTCGGGGGTGAGGTTCGCGAGTACAGGAGAGAGCACCGACCCCAAACTGTAATTTACAGAACCACAAGTCCGCTTATTCTACCTGAGCGCCCACGTAATCCGGGGATGCTTTCACCCCCATAGGAGGGTGCCACCTGAGGGGTTCCACTTTCGGCTCGGCAGAGCCACGTCACGAGCGGACGATAAATAATACCTTATCGCGGCATCCGATGGCGGCTAATTTATTTACGAATCGGTGTGGGGGGGTGGAGGCCCCAGAAGGGGTGCGAGGCTAAGCAGAACTCATTTTCCGATTCTGAGTCACGAGCCATCTGGCCTTGCCAGCCCAGAAATTCAGTCAATTCGGCCACCTCGACTGAGTCTCGCGCCAAGTTCGTCAGCTCGCGCGCCCGGGTCTCTTTGCGACAACGATGGACAATCGCTCGAAAATTTATTTTTAAATCAGTTTTTCAGGGCCCTGGGGTGATGTATGCCTCCGGAACTTGGAACTACCCCTAGAAAAAGTTGTATTAAAGTCCTGTCCGAAGGCACGCGTCCAATTATTCCGGGAAATTCACCGCCGGAGGGTTCGCAGGGGGTAAGGAAACCGCGGAAGAGGAAACCTGAAGGGTGGACCGCTCGAGGGAGGGAATTACGAGAGGGCTGGTCCGAATGCACCCGAGAGGAGCCCTTTCTGAAAAGCACTCCGTGAATTAAGAGGAGAGGTTTTCCAGGCTATATAATTCCTCCCGTGACTGGGGGGTGGTGGAAAGGGGTAACTCGGGGGTAAAAAGGTGCAGAGTGAACGGCCTTGGGAGAGGTCCGAGGTCGGGCGATTTTATTTCTGGCGAATCCCTCGCGTTTCGCGCAAACCTCGAAGTCGGAGGCTGAAAACGAGGAAGCGAGAGAGAGAGTTGGCAGAAAAGAGGCGGAGGGGTGGAAAGAGGGCGGGGAGGAGGGAAAAGTTTTCCTGGAAGGTTCCCTAACCGCTTCGATCGATGCTTCTTTCGCGTGACGCGGGGGTTGTATAGTGGAAACTACCCTAAAGCCAGACACGCGCTACGGGCGCACGAATCGGCGTTCCCATTAACGACCGGCTGGTTCGCAGTATATGGGAACCTTTCCGGGCTCTTTCTAAGGTTCTCTGGATGAGGGAACCTTACTAAGGTCCGCACCTTTATGGGAAAAATGGCGGCGCCCGACCCGAATGGCTCGACCTCCCTCTAGGGGTGCAGAAGGCACCCTCTAATTACTCCACGAAATTCATCGCTTGAATTATTTTTATCAAAGTCCTACACGTATTCACCTCTCCAATGTGTTTTCCTATACGCTAAGAGGTTATCTACTGATTAGTCAAAATGGCGGAAAGGTCGCTTCCATTTGGCGATAAAAGAATTGGACAGCTGGTTAGAGAGGATATCGAGAGGATCTCGATACCGCCCGGAGAAAGGGGGTCCATTTTGGTAAATAAGCATGATCAAGGGTTGCAAAGAGCAAGATGGGTAGTTAGATAGACAGAGACAGACCGGGCGGGAGGAAAAGCGGAACGACAGAGACCGAAGGCTCCGCGCTCGACTTCAAAGCACACCGAGTGTCGCTAACTAAACTCCCACCGCCGGGGGGAGAGTTTGCCATTTCCAATTCCCAGTCCATTTCGTGATTAAGTGTAAACTTCTGAAGTTGCCCCGAGGCCGATCGCAAATAAACGCACCGGTGCGTATTTACGCGCGGGACGGAACCCCCGGAGCGCGCATCCCTGATGACACCCCGACTGGCCGTGATCGAATTAACCCATGGGGTGATTTTTCAAAATCACGAGGAAGTGAACATTGAAAACCACGTTAATATGATAAATGTTAATTATCAAATGACTTATCAAAAATATACAGTGAATAAAAATACGTATAATTTAAAAATTGTAAGAAAACACTCCAGGTCGAATTAAATCATTTTGGAGCAACGAGGTGTTTTTCCGAAATTATCCCAAAATTAATATCGGAAGCCACCTTATTGTCATTAACGCCATATAGAAAATCGATCTGTACACATTTTTTTTATAGAGATTTGGATGGGATTTGAAAACTGCAGGAAATTCTTCTCTCGCTCAGTTTCCAAACGGAATCAAATTCGAAGTCGGAGGTTAATGGCGAGAAACTCGATATATGCGTGCAGCCATAATGGGGCCGAAAGGAGGAATTCGTCCTCCTATATCGGGTTGCTAATGGCGTAAGTTAAGCCTTGGAGTAAAAACAGAGGCAATCGAAGGCAACTGCACCCTTTGTAGTTATTCCCAGTTTAATTGGAGGACACCTAGGCGAGTTCGAGCGCCCCTAAACGGGATTCATCCCTCTGTTTTTTATCGCAGGATCCTCGAAGGCGCTTTCAAGGACCTCTTCGAGCCTCGACACGGTTCCCTCTGTAGCGACATCTCGCGAAGAGGAGATTATTGCTCGCTTTTGCATGCAAACGCCACCCCTCGGCCCTCCTTGCGCGAATATTTGCGGAATATATCATCTAAATGTATACAACACAGGGTGGGGTCGTCGCCGATAGAGGGGTCAGAGGTTAAATCCAAATCCTCGAAATACAATCAAAACCCTCACCCTGGAAAACTTTTTTAATAAAAATAAATGCAAAAACACTATAATGAAAATCCCTATAAACGCATACGGTCGATAAGAAAAATGCAATAACCAGAAACAATATTTAAAATCCTCATTTGTTCCCTCTTTCGGTACTTTTATGGGTTTTTGTTCTATGTACCCGTGTAACGAATCGATACTCCGATTTAACTAATCAATGGTTTCCAAGGATTTCTACGGTTCTGGGAGAAAGTGTCATTAATGGGCCACTTGGATTTATTGCATCGGTCGTGGAAAATCCTTCCACTCGTTAGCCTTTCGAGTCGCCCCTTGCGTGAATAACCCCCTGATAAATAATCTAGATGCACACGCAGGTTCGATTCAAGAGGAGGGTCGAGGGCTCGAGTCGGAGTCACGCGGCGGGTCAAGTTCTGGGTCGCTTCGTTAAAAAGACCAGCCAAACTCAGGGGACTTTCCTGTCGGCGGGTCCTGCCAATTAAATTCCCTGCAGTTTCGCTCGGATTGCGCGATTTCGCCGACAAAAAGCCCCTAGCGCGTGCGCTTACCTGCGAAATCCATAATTGCTCCGCAAGGGTGAACATTGCGCTGCGGTGCGCCAATTTGTTGGGCCTCGTCGGGTTGCTATGGCTTAAGGGTGTTCCCTGCCACATCCCCAATTTTTCCGATTTCTGTGTGTCCAGTACTTCCCTTAGCCTGAAAATAATAATGGTTTGGAGAATAATACTAAAGGAAACAAATGCACTGAAAATTGTGCGTCGGTGGAGGGAATTATTGGGTGTTTTTAATTAATCGTCATTTTGTTTCACGAAATTCTCTTACACGCGGGAAAAAAGAAACACCGAAAATTGTGCGGTCGAAGTATTGTTGAGAAAAAATGTGTGTATCGCAGAAATCAAAGTGGGTATTGTTTATTGTTCACGGTGGAACGATGGAGCAGAGGAGGTCTATTTTCCGGTGGGTCCTAAGGGAGGGTGGGTGTATTTTCATCCCCTTCTACGAAGTTCCTGGGAGGGCATAATTTACTTTTCGACCACCGGACGAAGGAAGTTTCCGCATCCCTTGAGAGTGAATTTTCCCGTTCAGGTGCTTACATCGAGTTCCTTGAGCAAACTCGAAGTCAGTGAAAGAGGGATTACTTGGGGTGCATTAAAGGGAAATAAAAAAAGAATTGGGTATCCATATAAACTCCACACAATTTCCCATTCGCTTGAGCCGATGTTTCCATTTACTCGATGAAAGCTCGAAAATTCGACAGCTTTTCCCTGGGACAGAGACGCGAATTGCCGAGCGAGGTCGCAGGCAATTAAGAGAGAAAAATGTGGAAAAACGGGAAAAATCGGGGAAAAACGTGGCGAAAGGTCGCCGAGAAATACGGAGCGACCCGAAACGCGTGAAAAAAATTGGCAAAAAAATCCCGTGCGATGAGAAAATCCGATAATTTCGGCAGGAACGAGGAGGAGGAGAAAAACGGCGAAGAGTGGCCGAAGAGACGGAGACAAAGGGGCTCTCTCTCCTTGTCGATGCAAAACAGAGCACGAAGGGTCGCAGCAATTAAGAGATAACAAGATTTCCCCTCGGCACCCCTCCAATTAGTAACACCCCGAGCTACCCCTGCCAGGACCAGAGCACCCCCTGGCGCCTTTGCCGACCGCCGAGCAAACGATGGTTTCCCCTCGCCCATGGCGGAATTCTCCTCCTCTGTTTGCATACCATCGCGGTCCATGGAGAATTCCCGAAGGACCGGAGCAAGGTGCCTATCGCGCATATATTACCCGTTTATACATATACATATATTCGATCCTTCCAGTCAATCAACCCTTATCACTTGGGGAGTCTCCTAGATCCCTCCATTTTTCTCTTTATTTTCTAATTTCTCATCTTTTCATTTTTCAAACGGATCTTCTCTTTCTCTCCTCTACTTTTTCGCCCCAGGAGTGAGCTATGTTCTAAGAGACGTAATTATCCTAGGGAACAATGATCGATGAAGCCCGCTTTTTATTTTTTTATTACCCGGGAATTTCACGAGGTGGTCCAAAATCAGGGCAGCGGGCGGGCGACATATGTAACATGTAAATGGACATATAAATGGACACCCGACAGGATACGCAACCACAGACCTGTCTAGGGTTGCAGGGAGGCTCGAGAAGGGTGGCAGGGCAATTATTTCGAATTCAGTAAGTCCGAATAGAGGCCGTGTCCGATTGATTATTATCGAGTCGAGCAAACGAGGGTGTTTGATCGGAGCCACTCAACCATTTCGAGACCGGTGTTTTTATTTAATTATGTCTTTTCGAGAATTATTTTTCCATTGGCAAGTATCTTTAAAATGAGATCCAGGACCGAGTAAATCGAAATAAATACCGTGTCCGATTATTATCGAGTCGAGCAATGGTGCTTAATCGGAGCCACTGGGACAATTCAAGGCAGGTGTTTTTATTGAATTTTTCCCTTTTTATGAATTATTTTTCCGTTGAATGGAAGGTGACGAATGAGATCCAGGATTCGAGGGCCTCCGGTAACCTCGTGGCCGTGGTTCGATTCCGGACGTAGAGGTTACGCGCCTCGGAGGAGGTCGATGGCGCGAGGTCGTTAGCGGGGCTCGAGCGGTGCATAGCAATGAGGTCGACGGGGCTGGAAACCTCCTGGGAACCGAGACACCCGTTATAGCTTTATACGAAAGACGACGGGGGTTCGAGAATAGGACTGACTCATGGCGTCCGAGATAATCGAACTCGTTACGTCGCGTACCCGGGATTCGTTTCGTGCGCGGAATCGAAACGCAGGGGCGGATTCGCGGCCCGATTGCCTTGGATATAAAACGAAACGCCCCGGTGATCGAGGATGTCTTTGTCGTCGAGGCGATAACGTGCTCGACTTGACGTAAACGATATTAAAAATAAAAAAGAAAAAGAAAATGTCCTTCAGCGAGTGACGATTTTTGAGCGCAGGATAGAAAATCCCGCCAGAAATTAATTCCCAGAGGAGGCGGAATTAACAGAAATGTTAATAAATAAAATTAATATCCATCGAGGGGATGACGACTTTTTCTGCGCACATCGTGTCCAGGATTAATTTCCGACGGAGGGGGAGGACTTAATGGAATTATTAATGAAAATAATTGCCATCGAGTCCATGCGAGGGCAGTATGACGGACTGCAAGAAGTGCACCCTGTCTCCAAAATAAATTCTCGCCGGAGAGGGAAGAGCACGCGGGGTCGGTCTCGTTAGGACAGCAAAGGGGATTTCTGATCAACGAACCGTGTGGACCCGGACCCTCTCGAGCAGCCACGCTTCGTTTCTCGATTGATTCTTTATTTTACAATTGACAGAGCCGCAGTAAGGGCCGGTGCGTGCCGGCGCCCTGGCACTCGAGGGCCCCTCAGGGTGGCTGGAGGAGTAAGGGCATCAGCCGAGCGAGACTCGACGATTGATCCAGGAGTTCTCTTATCCTCGGTCGAGGTCGAGACGAGATCCTGTAAAGAGCGATTTTCTTATCTGGATAAAATAAATGTCATTTTACCCCAGACTGGTTGCGGTACCTCAAGAACCCCCTGATAGATTTAGTCCTCCCGTGGATATGGAATTAATAAATAAACACCTTGGTAAAAATTGCGAATTAAATTCCAGGGTATATGTAGATCACAAGGATGAGAGAAATTGAGGATAATTTAATTCGCAGAAGGACGAGCCTCTACCGAGCCTGCCGGTGCCGCAGCTGGAGTCCACCATAAGGAAGTACCTGGCGCAGGTGGAGACGGTGGCACCTGCGCACCTGGAGAGGAATCGTGCCCTGGCGAAGGCCTTCCTCGCGGGTCCTGGTCCCAGGCTCCAGCAGCGTCTCCTGGAGCGTAGGCAAAGGACCACGAACTGGGTAAGTCTCCTGTCTGACCAACAAAAGGCAATTCCACTCCACTTAATAAAACCCCAGGTCTCTGAGATGAAATTTCTAAACGAAAATCCCCTTGAAAATTAAATTCCGAAGATAAGCCCTCGCTCAAGAAATTTCTTCCGAATTTCTGGCGAGTCTGGGGCAAATAAAGGCTTAAATAAAATAAAGAAGCTAAAAGTGGAGGAACAACGCCGAAGACGTCGAAACGGGAGAGGCCGCGCGTGGCCGAGGGCGGTTTTTTAATATTCGCTCGCAGGCAAGAGAGGAAACGAAAACGGACGGCTCCGAGCCCGACTAAATGGCACAACACCATTTTCGTTTCAGAACCCGAGAGCCTCGGGAGAATTCCACCCTTATGGTGGCCCGTTAGCGCGTGTACGTGCAGAGGCAAGGGTGTAGGTGCGCTTCCAGGGGGTTCCGCTCCGTGACTTTAGCGATCCCCCTGATGTCCCGCGGGATCTGTCCTATGCATGGGGGGCTACCTTCCCCTGCGTATTCCCCGTAAAACCCACCCCGCGCAAAACCCCCGTGGCACATAAATAAATAAATAAATGGATTTACGGGGCGCGGCCGAGCTCGCCTGACGTTTCGACGTTCTGTTGGCCGAAGGGGAGGAAAGGGGGAGGGCATTACCTCGGAACAACGAACAATGGAGGTACGTATAACGGAAAAGGAAAGGGTTTTCTGGAAACTTGAGATTACATTCAAAATTAAAAAGAGGGTAAAATTTGCCCAGTTTTTTTAAATCCATTTTCTGACTTATTTGGGGAGGTGGAGTTTATTGGAAAAATGGATAGATCGATCGATGGAGGCGGAGTATCTCGGCATGTTCTTGGATTGTTCGGGGATAATGAAGACCAGTTTTTCGGCCTTTGGGGGGACGTTACCCCCTGAAGGGAATCGAGGACCTAGTTCCATCTACGGGGGAGTTATGGGGAAGGAACTTGCAAGAAAGGAGGAGCAAGATCGAACGGGAAGCAATTCGCGGCCACGTCGCGAGGAGATTGCTTCCTCGCGACCTTCGACAGGGGTGGCGAAATGTCCGGGAAATCTCGGCGACAATGTATTTCCGCCACTTTCCCAAATCGAAATTCTCCCCCGTGAGGAGGTCGATTGTATCGATTGTGCCGATTTCAACGTCGCGATCGATCTCGCCCCTCGACCGAAGGCGACTCGATCTCAGTAAACATTTACCAAGGGGATGGTGCACCTGTATGGGAACCATGAGATTATTTTCCAGGGTTCCCAAACCCTTTTAACTCCTCTTTTAGATTTTTTTAAAACGACGCCGAGCGGCGCAACTTCGCTCCGGAATTTTCCCTTCATTTTCTCTAGCTTATTCCCCGGAGAAAAAGCGCGCTTAGCGAGGCGTCGAAAACTTCTTTATACGAGGGAAGGGGGTAATTTCTCATTTCGAGCAAAAATATGCTCCTCGCTTTATTCGCTCGTTCGACGGGATTCGTCGGCGGGCCTCGTAATTCGAGCGCTTGTAATTCGAATTGAATTTGCCCGGACGAATAATGGCAGTCGCAATGAAATTTTCCAGTTCGCCGCGGGGTTCCGTAATATTAGCTTTCGGCTCTGCAACCCCTGCGGACACCCGCCCCCTGTCCACTCCCTAAAGTCGCCTTCCACCCGCGTTTATATCCCCCGAAACGGAGATTCGCACCTGCGGACAAAGAAATCCTGAAAACTCGGGTAAACCGTGGAACAAGGATCTCGAGGATCTTGAAATATTGCGTCGTTACAAAATTCACAGATAAATCTATAAAACTTCAGAAATATATTTTTTTTCCTTTCAAACCGAAACCCATATTAATTATTAATATATCTTCCGGCACTTCTCGCGACCACCTCGGTAGATTTATTAAATCATGCGAGGGTCTCCAAAGAATCATGGAAATTCACACCGGCAAGGAAATCCTGAAAAAGCGCGTAAACCTTAAACGAGGACCTTAAGAAGCGGGAAATATGAAGGGGGATTTAGGGGTGTTTGTTGTGTGGGGGATGTTTTACTTTTGTCTTACCAAGCTAGTCCAGCAGGACCTCCGTCGTCCCTCTCTATTTGCGAGGGTTGCCCACCTCCAAGGGCGGTCCAGAGGGTGGAGGGTGGAATAAGGAGGTACGTGAGCGAGAGACAAAAGAGAGGAGGTTTCGGTAGGACCTTGAAACGAAGGTGAAACAAGGGGCCGAGAACTCGGAGGCCATTCGAAGGGATCCTGCGAAAAGACAACGCGTGTCCTTGTGATCACGTCCTGGTTCCCTCCAAGTTGGTCCAGCGAGGAGATAAGATCGAGCAATAAAGCTTTATGGCTCCTGCTCGTCCTTCCAGCTCTACCCACAGATCCTGTTCCTGCGGGAACACGAAATGGTTACCCTTTCTTCTTCCCTCTAACTTCCTTTCCTGGACAAAAAATTGTTTCTCATGAAAAATTAAATACAAACCCTGATCCTTCCATCAGGAACCTAAATTCCCGGTAGAAACGCCCTCCAGGAGATCCCTCTTCCGGAGTTTCCGCACCCCAAAAAAGTTCCTCGCAAGGAGGAATCTTTTTTGGACCTCCGAGGATACAGGATAATCCGTTAACGAAAAGACCGGCATTAGGAGAGTTAGCTGGGGGATTCTTCGGGATCGGAAGGACGAAGTGTCCTTTTGGCATCCCTGTTCCTAACTTTCCCAACAACCCCCCAAGACCTCTCGAGGGTGGGATCCTGCAAAACGATCTGGACGTACCATCCTACACCTTAATTCATTACCTAGCCTTCACTTTAAGGAACACCCCGAAGAGGAGGCGGAATTCTTTCTCTCCCTCGCATTGAACTTCTTTCTGCACGAATTCGGCGCCACCTGAAAGTCCAGATAAAATTGTCATTTTCTTTAAAGACCCACAAAAATGATAAAGTTTAAATCACTCCAAATGAGCCCTCTATATTATAAATTTAATGAAAAAAATAATTATTCATTGCATGCGTAAATTGACTCGAGTTCTTCGATTTTCAAGGTGTCACGAGGTGGGAGGCCTTCTGGATAAATCGATAGAGCTCTTCGAAGAGGGTCTCTTTATTTTATTCGTTTTCCGCGGCTTTTTCTCGCCACGTCGAGGCGAGGGATGAGACGCGGCTTTGTCGCTCCCTTTAACAGCCCCGCGTTTCGTTAGATCGTGTTAGATCGGGAGCGGAGTTCCCAGGAGATGCTCCCTCTGTCCTGGGGCCGATAAAAGGCGAACTCGCGGCCTCGAAAAGAACATCGGCCGAGTTTAAAGGGCGAGTTCGGTTCGCTCGATCGGGCCTTTAACCCCGAAGAACGCCCCGAAGAAAGGTGCCCCCTTGTCACGCGACTCGCCGGTCGATTAAGTGCAATTTTTCTGATAATGGAGATTACGCCTGAGAACATTACAGAGATGTACTTAAGATAGGAATGTGAGAGACGTGCTAAAAATAGGAATAGTAGGAATAAGGTACACAAGGAACAGGTATATAAGAAAGGCGAACACTGAGAAAAAACAAATTAATTAATTGAAACAAATATACGCTGCTGTCTGATTCATGTATAATCCCAAGAAACAATTATTTCGTCGACAAGAAAAATGTACATCGTTGATTTAAACGAATTTTCTTTACCACGTTTCTTTCGACGTATTTAATCGCAGGATTTTTGTCACGTATTTTTTTTTTTTTGAGGTGACCGATATTTGTCTCGGCGTACTTAAAGTGGAGATACGAGGGACGGGTACTTAAAGTAGGTATGTAGGAGGTATATTAAATTGGAATATTAGAGATATACTTGAAACAGGAAATTGCACGTAAATCAGCCGTGCGAGTCCTGGAAGACGGTGCAAGAAAGCCCGGAGGAAAGGGGCCGAAAGGGGGTGGCGATTACTTTACCCTCGTGCTCGACTTAGCCGAGAAGTACGCGAGAGCAATTACTTTCGAGTCGTAACGAAGGGTCGAACTTTGCGGTAAGTTCGGCCCGCAATTACTCGAAGCGCTGTTTCTCCCAGGGCGGCTTCAAACGAGTTCGCGAAACGGATTATTGCAGGAAACGAACGCCGGCATCTTTGATGTCGAGGGATCATATTTATATCGGCGGGTCCTCTTCTGTCTCTTTTTACACACAGGGGTGGAAATGGGGGCACGAGACGAGGTGGGTCGCAGACGTCTTCGGGGGAAAGTGGAATCTCGTAATGCCACCCAGGAGGAGAGAAGACACGAGCCTGAGAGCAAAAGTTTCCTCGGATTCTCCGAAATTCGATACCCAAACGTCGAGTCGAGTATCAGGGATCGAGACAAGGGACCATTTCCTAATCGGATAGGAAATTTAAGAAATTTCCTTCAACTCCCAATATTAAAATTTGACATTTCCACCGAATCCCTCTTAGAACTCTACACGGTCTAAAGCACTCCAAGAGACAAGGAAATTATATATATTTCCGGATAAAAGAAATTTTTCAGCGAGCTAAAGAGAAAAAATTTCTAAAATTTCAGGAGGTGCCCTTTCGACAAACGTGTTTCTTCTTTTTAAACGTCACGAAATAAAATATTTCTGATAATTTAATATTCATTAAGGACTCGGAATTTTCCGTGGGTCCCTAAGAAGCAATGGAATTAATCTTCCCTCTCGGCGGGAAAATGCAATATTTTTCAAGGTGTATTCATACGATCTTTTTACGGGGGCAGGTTCTCGCAACCCTTGACGTCGAGTTTCGCCGACTCGCTTGGATCATCCCCCGGAATCGAAGGGCATGGTGGCGCTTCCGCTAATCTAGGCAATTTAAATGTTTGTCCCCGAGGAAGGGAGATCGAGTATCGTCGGCGACGGGGCCGCGAGTAATCCCTTGTTGAAACAGCACTAAGCCCTGCGGATTGTCTGCGGGATTGCGCGGTGATACGGCGAACAACGAACCGGGGGTGGCCGCCCCTGGTTTGCGCGATTTCCCTCCGGCGCGGGTGCGGCCATTCTTTACCGGGGCCTCCGTCGTTCC